TAAAACTAAGACCGTATGTACGGGTTTTCGGGTGTGCTGATCACGAATCTGTGGTCGAAATTTCGCTATCTTCAAGTCTCTCCGATGATTTTTAAAATGGAACGATTACAATTTCTGTGGTCCTGCTTTCAGGGTTAGTATTTTGAAATACGAAGACCGTGTATGGGGGTTGTCGGATACACTGATTATAAATATAATGGTTAAAATTATGATATCTCTAAGTTTAGTGAAATAAATCACTATTAATATAAATGCGTAATATGAGTGTACATATAACTAAAAAATGCTAAAAATAAAAATACCTTTATAAATAAGCCAATTTTTATTACACTTATTACTGAGTAATAAAATTTTAATGGTTTTAACAAATTATCATAAGTTTTATCATTTTCATAAAAATTTCAAGATATTAATATATGTTACCAAATAGTTTGACAAAAAAACTTTAGCAAATTAACAAATTCTTAACATAAAAGTAGAAAAAATAAACAATAATTAGAAAAAAATCCTGATTGTGTAACTTCTTTATAGATCTCTTTTTCAATTGTCGACAATCTTGGTCGTTTCTTGACCATATACATCTACTAAATTTTCGGACTCAATCGTCGGAACATCAAAGTTTTTGAGTTGTAAACCGATTTGTTCCACGCCAATAACAAATCCCAGATACACTTTTCTGATGTCAGTAAGAAATTAAGTTATCTGCGAACCTAAATCCTTTTTGTACAATTTTTCTTACTTATATATAAAGCATAGTTGCTGGAACCGTTGTAATCACTGATGAGATTCCGATTTCTGTGGTGCCATGATCTGAGTGTGGTTTCTCGTATGCATTGATGCCAGGAATACAGGAAAATTAATTAAAAAATTCCCACTTACTCCTTTCGGGATATCGAACTCGAAAGCAGAAAAAATTACTGTAAGTGTTAATACAATATTAAGTAGGATAAGTTCTAGCTCATTAGATAATAATAAATAAGGAAAAAATATACATTATAATTAGTAATGGCTTCTTCACGAGCTTAGCTCGCTCGCTCACGTTGTTAAAAACAATCGAATCCTTCAAAGTACTGACAGTAGAGTATCCAACCACATGTGTGTGCCATTATGACTCCTTCGCAAGCTCTGCTCGCTCACCCACGTTGTTATAAACAACCAAATCCTACAAAGTACCGAAAATAGAGTGGCCAACCACATATGTATGGATTGAATTTAAAAAAAAGTTTATAAATGGAGTCACTAATGGCCCCCTCACGAGCTTCACTTGCTCGATCGCGTTGTAAAAAATAACTAAATAATTGGAATTAGAATTAATTAAAAAAGAGTTAATAAATATAACCGCTAATGGCTTTGTTAATTGTTAATATTTTCATCATATTTTATATGAAAAAAAATCACATCAAATATTTTCAAAGGAAAAAATATTTTTATTATATATTTCTTACTATCAAATTAGCAAGAAATAACCCTAATATCACATTTATATGAAATACGATTTTTTCGACTTTAGCGTTTGATATCCTGAAAATGAGATAAGAAAGAATTTTTATCATTTTTTCTGTATTTCTGGTATCAACATATACAAGAAACCATACTCAGATCACGACGCTACAGAAATCGGAATTTCCTCCTAAAACTGTAATCGACATTTGCTCCGTTACACGGCCTCGATGGTATTTCCGTTTTGTTAAAAACTCCTTATCAATTTACACAGTTTTGCCTTCCTCCCAATCTGTATTTCTGTGTGCGATGCTATAACGTTGGCTGATTCTCTACTGTAGCTGTAGTAATCAATTATAGTACTCGAACTTAACGCATCTCTTCTTTATCTTTCTGCCAAGCATTTAAGTGATATTACGTGTCTGTCACACTTATTTTGGACACGAAACAAAAAATGATTACAAGAACATCACGTATTTCTGAACGACATGTAGAAAGAACCTTCAAAAAATATGCCAGTAGGTGGACTTTTTTATTTGCAACAAGAACCGGCAATTTCGCGTGATCCTTGGAAGACGAGCACCTCAAAATCCAACCTAACTTAGAGTCTTTTTTATTTTCCACTACCATGGGGCAAGCCACAACAAAGTGGTGGTGTTGATATTTTTGATAGTACACATTCTTTTGTTTTCAGGAAAGATATTGCTGTTTCGCTATTATAAATCAACTTATAAAATGAATGGAATACAGAAAAATTGTCAAGTTTTGGATGCAATTGCTGATGTTTAACACTCATTTAGAAATAATCTTTTCGCTTTTTTAATAATCCACCCTATGTTCACTAACTCATTCAAAATTTACTAATTCATAAAAATCGTAACTCAAACACTGCCGCGGTACAAGCATAAACACACTTGCGGACACACGCAATTGTACAAACACGCATTTATGGTGACGCATGCGCAGGAAATAACTTAGTTAATTTATTTTTTTACTATTACTAATTATCTAATAGGCACAACAAAAATAAACTTAATTAAAAACGTATTTTTAATTTTCACATATTTTAACTATACGTATATTGTACATCATGCATTTAAGTAAACATACTGATTTATCGAACGAGACTTGAAGATATCGAAATGTTGACCACAAAATCGTGATCAGGGCACCCGAAAGCACCTGCAAACAGTTATAGTTTTATGAAATGGCACCCAGAAAGCGAGGACACAGAAATCGTAATCTCCCGAGAGAGGGGCACGCAGCAGCCAAATGAAACTTCAACATCAAAATTTCAAATTTTGATTCGTGATCAGCACGCGCCCAAGAGCCCCCTACACGGTTTCAGTTGAATGAAATATATTAAAGAGGCATTAGAGGCTCCATCGCCTAATGCGGTAGTCAACTCAGTGACAATCGATGCGATGTCACTAGACGAAAGCTTCCTTTTATGCTAGTAGTATGTTGGTAATGAAGTTTGTTTTATTTTCAACTGAATTCACCTGCTATTATATAAAGTATACTATATATTTATGCAGTCAGCTGTCAAATAATGTAATATTAATGACTGCTGTAATTTACTGCGTTATTACCCGACAAATAAATTTAATTGAAAAATTATATTAAAAGTTTTCATGTATNCCGTCCAAAGACACGGGGAACAAACGAAATCGACGCAAGCAACAGCTAGTCCCACGTCAAGTCTTCGCAGCAGCACCACCGTGCAGTGCTGCCACCACCGGTCACTCTGACTACTACGATTCTCTCAGCCACCTAAGTGTGGCGTACTAGCGTGGACTCAACAGTAACGCACAATCCTCTACACGAGACACACGCGCTCCTAGTCAGAAGCACAATAGCTGCTTGTACATTAAGACTAATAAAGGCTCCTATTCTTGTCATTACACAGGCGAGTCATCATTTCTCGCCGTGCATACTCCTCCGGCCTCATCAGCTAAGGATAGCTCCCCAGCTAGTTCCAAATATATGTCTCACTTCGAGGTGGATGCGGGGGATAGGTTTTAGTTTCAACTTTGACCACATCGTTTCATTGTATGGGCTCTTCGGCGCTGTAGTAGTCACATCTCCCTCAAATATGGTGTCGTAACAGTGTTGCAGTGTTGGCATAGAGGATCTTCACATACCCCAACCGATATCGGAACTTTCCCTTGGAAAAGTTCTGAAGCTAATCAGAGCAGAGCTACAGCAGGAGTGTAGGGGAAGACTTATCTCTCCTCTGAATGATAATGCAAGCGCCTATCTCCACAAAACCCGGGGCGCTTGCTGGCTGCTTTATTTATAATAATTATTTATAATAAACAAAATAATAACACAGGCACCTATATCCTAACACAACTTGGGGCGCTTACTGACTGCTTTAATTGTTCATAATATATAAAATAATAACACAATCGCCTATCCCCACACAACCTGGGGCGGTTACTGGTTGCTTTGATTATTCATAATAAATACAATGATCCAGGCCACAATAATTTGCGTTTGCGTTATTATTTTACCGATTATAAATTATGAAGGTGACCAGTAAGCACCCTGGGTTGTGTGGAGATTGGCACTTGCGTTATTTTATATATTATGAATAATCAAAGCGACGAGTAATTGCCCCGGGATGTGTGGGAATAGGCGCTTGCATTATTATTCATAGGAAAAAAAAGTCTTCCCCTACACTCCTGCTGTAGCTCTGCTCTGATTAGCTTCAGAACTTTTCCAACGGAAAGTTCTGATAGCGGTGGGGCTATGTAAAGAAACAGGCATAGACACATAAGATATAGATTGCTCGTTCTTATGTATGGCGCCTGAGTACCAGTAGAAATAGACACAACATCGAACGTGTATATCTCTCAGTTTTCATGTATTTTACAAATTTAAATTCTTTATATTGTGTACAATCTCTAGACCAGTATGTCCGGCAGTGTTTGTCACTGCACACACAGAACGTAACTGCAGGCCAAAATAGTATTTTAGCTATTTTATTAATTTTTTTACCGCCAATGCCTAGAAAGTCACCTGGTATCTTAAAGATGAAAATGTCAGGGTTATGGTACGTGAATTTTTTTTGCTTGTACATTCTATTTTTGTAGTTTAATTGATCATCAAAAGTTTGCTCCAGGCCTTAGACCACAAGAGGCTGTGTTAAGCAAGCTCGAAAAGTGGAGACTTTGAATTGAATTATCTTTGAACTTTGATTGCCAACCCATACAAATAAGGATACCATTGAATTCAGCATCATTTAAACTTTTATAATATATCATTCAAAGTTCTTGTACATTCCGTGATGGAGCCTCCTTAACACACAGCAGGACCACAGGAATCGTAATCGTTCCTAAAGTTCTACACATGCCAAAACTTATCTGCAATTCAATAGACGTGACAGCTACAAACACGAGGTTAGAAGACTTGTTATTCATTTTAGTAGCACCATAACAGAAGTACTACCACAAGTATTAACAAAAATTTATGAACAGTTTAGATCTTTCAGACAACTTCAAGTATCTCTGTATAAAATATCGTATCTGTCCTTAAACGTAAAGCGATTGACTTACAGATTTTCAGTCCATGGCGGTAGGTCATTTGGGGCTCCCACAAGCTGCAAATCCTTACAAATGACCGCATTACCCAGGCAGGAACATTCGACTGGGCATTGGTTGCCTGAACTAACTTTAATGATGTGTACTGTAAAAAAGAGCACCTGTAATAGCCAGGCAGAAGTGGCTGGCACTGTTCTCAATATCATTGTAGACGAAATGGATCAGCCGTGGCTGCGGTTACTCCAGCCTATGAACAAACTTTCCAGATTTAGTGCCATCTTTAACAATTTGAATCCACCCAGTTACATGTGTCCAATCTAGTACAAATTCACTGCATGGTAGGAAGGAAAATGCGGTTAATGGCTTCACTCTGAGGCTAGCACTACCTGGAATCAAATCATCATAATGCTGGAACTAACGTTTAAAATTAAAGCTATAATTACAAGAGTTAGTAAGAATGTTTACTGTATTTTTTGTTCTGTCGAAATACAAATGGCATTACCAAACACATTAGAGGCTGAGAATTAAGCTAAAATAAATATAAGCATTGGCGTAGAAATAATATTTCCAATGCTCATTCTATTTAACAAACTGTTTACAATGTGTGTGAATTGACATTAGGATTATTGTACCTGTTTCCCTGTATGACACGACCACAGAATTAATAGGCTTGTTCGATTAGGTGTTCAGTGTTCAGAGCACAGTGAGCAGTGTGTGAGCCATAGACATATAAGAAATGAAGACTGCTCGTTCTTGTGTACAGCGCTAAAGCACAAGTAGAAGGAGACACAATACTAAACGTGAGTATCTGTCTCTCTTGCACATTCCAACCTTTGTTAATGTACAAGAAAGACCAATACCCACGTTTAATGTTGTGTCTCCTTCTACTTGTGCTTCAGTGCTGTACTCAAGAACGAGCAGTCTATTTTTTCTATATGCCTATGCTCGTAACCAGCTGTGTTACGTATTTATCGACGGCTCTTACGAAAAACAACGGAACTCAGATTTTCCTATTTAAAATAACATTGGAATTTCTGAGTTCCGTTGTTTTTCGTAAGAGCCGTCGATGTGGGCACGTTCGACTTTCATCGTCCATTAGTTTGGTTCCTTCATTTCGTTCGTTCTGCTCGTACAGTTTGCTTGAATCCACTAAGTGAGCTCAGATATTTTGTATTTATTGGCTTGGGTCTTCCACTTCTGGAAATAATAAGAGTTGCCAACTGTCACAAGAGTTCTAAATTATTGTCTTTTATATTTTTAAATAGACACCATGTCTAAACAAGCATAAAAAACGACTGAATAGCACAATCTGTACGAGCGAAACGAACGAAACAAACGAACCGAACGATGAAAATCGAAAGTGCCCTATTACGCTGCAGGATAGCCCTACTGCGCGGTGGTGTAGACTTAACGCAGTCGCTTATGGAGACAAGTTCATCCTCTATCCTGCACACTCTATCATGATGTAAAAATGTAAGGTGTAGCGTTGCGCATCTATTTTGATTGACCAATTAGGAACGCTTCCATCGCCCCACCATGTGTGTCTGCGGATTTCGAAAGCTTTTAAAATATAAAGTATATTAACATCAAGAAACTCGTGAAACAATATGTATTTTTTATGTCAATATTTTCATTTCAGTTGTTTCAGTGACCAAGCATAAAATTCGTAAATATTTACACAGAAAAAACTGACTAAATAGGTAATCATTCATTAATTGACGTACATGTATATTTATACGTATGTCTGGAATCTGTATATATGTGGCCCCACCGTCCAAAGACACGGGAACAAACGAAATCGACGCAAGCAACAGCTAGTCCCACGTCAAGTCTTCGCAGCAGCACCACCGTGCAGTGCTGCCACCACCGATCACTCCGACTACTACGATTCTCTCAGCCACCTAAGTGTGGCGTACTAGCGTGGACTCAACAGTAACGCACAATCCTCTACACGAGACACACGCGCTCCTAGTCAGAAGCACAATAGCTGCTTGTACATTAAGACTAATAAAGGCTCCTATTCTTGTCATTACACAGGCGAGTCATCATTTCTCGCCGTGCATACTCCTCCGGCCTCATCAGCTAAGGATAGCTCCCCAGCTAGTTCCAAATATATGTCTCACTTCGAGGTGGATGCGGGGGATAGGTTTTAGTTTCAACTTTGACCACATCGTTTCATTGTATGGGCTCTTCGGCGCTGTAGTAGTCACATCTCCCTCAAATATGGTGTCGTAACAGTGTTGCAGTGTTGGCATAGAGGATCTTCACATACCCCAACCGATATCGGAACTTTCCCTTGGAAAAGTTCTGAAGCTAATCAGAGCAGAGCTACAGCAGGAGTGTAGGGGAAGACTTATCTCTCCTCTGAATGATAATGCAAGCGCCTATCTCCACAAAACCCGGGGCGCTTGCTGGCTGCTTTATTTATAATAATTATTTATAATAAACAAAATAATAACACAGGCACCTATATCCTAACACAACTTGGGGCGCTTACTGACTGCTTTAATTGTTCATAATTAATAAATCAGCACGCAAGCGCCTATCTCCACATAATCAAGGGCATTTTCTGCTTGCTTTATTTATTATTGAGTAATAAAAAAATTATGCAAGCACCTTAACCCAAATACTAGGGGGCGCTTACTGGCCTTTCAAATTATTTATGATTTTAATAAAAATAACGCACGCGTTTTTACCACATAACCTAAAAAACTTACTAGGTGCTTTTATAAATTTTAGTTATAAACACAATAACGCAAATGCCTATTCTTACGGAACCCGAGGCCTTACTGGTTACTTGAATTATTTAT